TTTCAATCTCTTCAGCTTGCTCTTCATCCCAAATGTGATGTCGCTTAGAGAGATTGACCGACTTCAGTTCCTGACACACGAGTGATCTGTGAAGGCTATTGAAAAAATTAGCTCTACTTGGACCGCCCGTTAGTACAATTGAAGTGTTTGTACGTTAATTTTTATGTATGTATGTATGTATGGCATTTAAGCAGCACTAGCGCCTTTGTTACGTTTCTTATGCGTCATTTGTTGTCCTCATTTCAATGCGAAAGCTTCTCTCAACTCTTGTCTTAACTTTTATTTCCAAGTCTCTCTCCCGCTCGCCGTACACTATCCCTTATCCACAGCTACAGTTGTTAACTAGCGGTACCGTTATGCAAAATTCACACTTAACTGCACTTTATGCGCAATTACAGAAACAATTGTTGCTGCCATTTGGTGCTGCCGCTGTAACTGCAGTTGCTGGCAACCTTTTGAACTTCGCTGCCCATCCGCTGTCTGCACCATTCTCCTTCTTTCAACGCTTCAAATCATTTGCCTCTTATTTGCATTTGCCGCCACTGGTTATTTGCTCTTTTTTTGTGCCGCTACCCCTCACCTCGCTCGGTTCTCACAGCCAGCTGTTGGTGTTGGCTGATGCTATTATGTTGTTTGTTCTTGTTGTTTGCTTTGTTCATTGCACTACAACCATCGTTCACTTATGCATTAGTAATTACTACTAGCAGCCATTTTAGCGCATTTACTTGGTTGCTGTTTCTGTATTTTTTGTTTGTTCTTGTTTTTTTTTTTTTTTGCTGTTCGTTTTTTTCTTTCGACTCTTCCTCTATTGTTTTTATTGTTGTTGCCATTGTTTATTTGTTTAACTTTATTGCGGCTTCTGTAAATTTTGCTCTGTCCTACCTATGCATCATGACTACAGTGGTTGTTGTTGTTGTTCGAAATTTGCAGTTGTGGTAAGCGAATTGTGCAAATGCGGTTGAGCGGTCTGTCAGTCGGTCAGTTCATGGTGAGTGCGTGTGTGCGGTAGTAATTTGCTTGCTACAAACACCTGCTTTAGCTACAGTGGGGATTCGAACTATGGCACAATCTTCAGAGAACAATTGTAAACATCAGCGTTTATTTTTACAAAAGGAAGTTGGTGAAAGTTGATTGGTTCAGTCAAATCCCTTGCCAACTTTGAACCAATAAGATTACTCAACGATTACCTGGCTTTCAGTACTCATGTTTTGGGTCTCCACAGATATTATAAGACTTCCATGTACTGATGTCTGGTGTAATGGTTCTTTTTTCTTATTTCAATTAAAACTCAATTAGATTGCTAATGGGAGTAAAGGATGTTTTTTTTTAGAGATGTGGTTTTCAAGAATAAATAAAACGCATATAACTTATTATTATGGCAAAGAATTTAGCTTTATTAAAAGTCATTTCGGTGGTCATCATTTTTTAATCAAACAGGGATCCTTCTGCAAACTCACCCGCGCGATGGCGGATGGACTCATTCGGGTCTTCTTCGATACTCTGCTCCAAAATAGTAAAAGCATTTTCGGTGCGCACTGTACGGCATATTTGAGCATTCAAATTATCCAATGGAGTAAAAATGACGCGAAGCTGAAACATAGTCCCTCGAATATCCGACTCAGTTGGGCGGACCGAACTATTATAATATTTTGGTAATAATCTTGCACAATTTGCAACGTTTTTCCTCCGGAATAAGTTTGTTTATTATAAAATAAAAACCAAAATCAATAAAAATCAAGTAAAAATTGTCAACTTCGAAAAATGCATTGCCTCATTGAAAACCATCCATGTAAAAGACACCTTCAAATCCTTGAAAAAAATTTTTTATTATTATAAGACCGTATATTTATTAATGTAAGACAGTATTTAGTATACGTTTCCCTTCAAACTTAACGCTTCCTTCCTAATTATACATTCATTTTTCCCAGGAAGTATTGCAAATGTATCCACTGAATTCTCGTATGTATTATGTCTTTTGAGTGGGTGATTAATATTATAAATTCACAACAAGTGGGCCTTACTGCAAGCATGAATCAAATACCCACACGCCACAGCAATTACTCACGTTCGCACACAAGCAAACAAATGTGTGCAACCAGCAACAAACACACTTAATGACATGCGGAAAAAGCAAATACCGCAGAAGATATGGCACAGCGATTGGTTACAGCGAAGGCTCGGTTTTAATGCGGAAAAGGATTACGACGAAAGCCGACAGATAGGTCACATATTTGTTGTGTTGTACAGCAAGCGCGCTTCGACCACTATCCATCTAATTTGCATACGCGATTTGGATGGAAATAAATAGGGCCATAGTAATGGCAAGAGTGCACTGTGAATATTGGTCGCACTATTGGACATGGTACAATTTCAAGCATGAACAAATCCTGTCAAAGCTGCGGCCCAATGTTGTGTGTTTTATTGATATGTCGTCGGTGTTTTGTATGTAAATAGATATACAAATGAACCCCTGGAGTTTCAAAACTATATTACTGAAAAATGGCGGCGAATTGCGATAAATATCAAAATCGAACGAGGTGTTTAATGCATTATCAATACCAAATTGTGACAGCTTGGTTTAAATTTTATACAGCAATTATGCTGTGAATTTGTATGTGGGAGCCGATGGATCTATAAAACACTTACCATATAGGAATTCTTGGAAACCTAGAAATATCATAGATAAACCTAACAACGATATATATATTTATATTTTATAAGTACATATGTATGTCTGTTTCAGTGCTGAAGTAACAGCAATAATTACGCTATGGGATGGGTTGGTTAGGACAGAAGCTTAGTAAGGATATGTATTGCATATAGACATTTCCTTATTAAGCTTCTGTCACAAAACAGCGTTAGAATTGTAATTACGTAAATTGCGTTATGTCACAACTTGACCCTCTAAATATATGTCTATAGTTTGAAAGAGTTCGAAATCGGAGAAACTTCACAAGGAAATCGATTTAACTGGTAATTACGAATCACGAAAAATTCAAAAAAGTCCAGTGAATTTTTTGAAACTCACAAAAATGTCTGGATATTAGCCATGTGATAAGTTCTCCGAAATCACATCTATCGAATCTCACCACGAGCTCACTGAATGACTTTCTCTTTGTAAAGTTCACCATGCCGCAATCGCAGGGTTCTCACTGGACATTGTCTGATGTAAGTTCCAAAGTTATATGGTGGAGGGTGAAGTGGAAGCACCCTCCTAAGAGAGGAAACATCTCGACTAAGGATGAAACATTTCGGCATTTTTACCTTTGTCAAAACCGGAAAAATAGCCGCAAGTGACATTGTCGGTCTCAATAAGTTTGTGATAGGCTCAAAACGTTTTGTCTTATGATCTCTTAAGTTTAAGTAGTTGGAGTTTTAGGTAGCACAGCAAAGGAACTTTCTAAGCTGTCCATGTGAGAACCCTGTTAGGATTAAACTCTAAGCCTACCTTCTCATGCCAGAATATTGCACGAGCTGCTTGCAGCTGCACAGTAAGGTACATCTCACATAGTTTATAAGAAAAATTATTGATTTTTTTAAATGTAAATTTACAGAATTATTATTCAAAGTGTTAGTAACAGCGATGAATCAATCTAAAGTTACATATCTATACTATTTTATTAATATACTATAATATAATAATGATATTGATATTAACGGCCTCTACACCCGCAACTTTAGTTCTGCTTTCTCCAGACTGGAGAACAAACAGTCGTCGCACCCGCGACTTGGCTCTTACGTCACTGTTGACAGTCATTACTTTGAAGTTGTAGATAATTTTGTTTATTTAGCAACCAGCATAAACACCACTAATAATGTCAGCCTGGAAACGTATAATAACTCTTGCCAGCAGGTGCTACTTCGGACTGAGTAGCCAATTGAAAAGTAAAGTCCTCTCTCGACGAACAAAAGCCAAACTCTGTTAACACGTGTTAGCGCGTGAAATAAACTTTCCAAAAAGGTATAGCATGACCCGATGCGACGAATAAAACTAGAACAACGCGCTCTCAGCGCCAACTAGCGAAAATACCACAAGACTTTTTTGACCAATATGTCAGTCCAAGTTGCTGCGAGCGGCGTATTTGAATGAATTTTTGATTATAAGGTGGCATACCCTAAAGGCATTATTTGTGCAAAGACCATAAATCTTTCGCAGAACTTTTCTCTCGAAAAGTCTCAACGTCGACTCATCAGTTGATGTCATCATTGGCTTCAACAGACCACTTCACACACATCGCTCCATTCAATGGATTTATTGAGATAACACCTCGGAGAGCAGATAATTTCACGGTCGATTGAAAACCAAGATCATGTTATGTTTCGTGTAGGGATATGTAAAGTCTAAAGTCTATGCGGATAAGCCCGCTTCGACTCAAGGCGTGTCATTCGCCAGCTCCAGTCGAAATGCTCAAACGAGTCATTGACCATTAGACTCAACGGTTGGACCACCTCATACTTAGCCGTGGCCAACATTTGAAAAAAAATAATCTTCAAAATATAAATAAGGAAAAATCTTCATTCTATTGATAATAAACCCCATACAATTTGAAGTATCTGAGTTTTGTAATAAGTAGATAACCTCGAAATGGATCACCCTTTACATAATAGTTTAATGAATGTTGCCATCTAGTTACTACTCATGATAACTGTCAAGAGGGTTTCGATAAATGTGCTGACTACCTTCTCATAAACATAGCTTTTCCTAAACGATTCTTAATCAGATTCACAACCCCATGTATTTTCAAAGCTGAGATTTGAGCCTCCAATATACCATGTGTGTGGGTTCTAATGAAAACTCTTTCAATTTTACACTTCTTTAAAAACCTTCTAGTAAAAACAAACCACAATTATTCTATTAGAATGTTTTACTCTGGAGATACATATATATACATACGTTTTAAGGTCTTTTATTACATATTATATCGGCTTTACTGTCTTTCGGATATATGTCACAACATCAAATAACACAAACAAAATAACTTTTTTTCTTATATTTTCAGTTTGTCACATTGTAAGCGCTGAAGCCAAAATTTAAACCAGTTGTAAAACAAGTAATTTATACAATTCAACAAAGCAACAACAAAACATGCGTGAACTGTAATAAACTAGCGAAGAACGCAACAACAATAACAACAGAAAACGTGCATAACACAAATAGATATCCAACGAAAAAAAGAAAAATGCAGAAAAAAACGAAAACTGACGAAAACTGACGAAAATAGCGAGCCAAAAGACAAAAGTCTAAGCCGCGCAAATAAAAATTGAAAGACCTGAAATACCAAAATAAATTTAGACTGAAACCTATTTTTTAGCCAGACCAAGCTAAGCCGAAAGGAAAGAAAAAATTCACAGAAAAAGAAGCAAACAAATTGCAAGTGCATAAATGGTAAGCATGAACATGTACGTTGCGGAGGGCGGCGGAAAGTGAGTGGTGAGTGGTGTGACAGGGGCAACTTGCAGAGCGCGAGTTAAAAGTGAACGTTGAGGTGGACTCAAGCGTCTGCTCTGCGGATTTCGTTGATTTACTTTCTTATGGCGCAACCAGAGTGGAGAGCAGTGACAAACAACTGGTTTAGCAAGCGGCGGCAGAACTTCGAGTGGAAAAAAGACGAAAAAAACAAAAAAACAGCTAAGACAAAGCGCTAGTAAACCCAACAATAGTGGCGGTAAGCAAGCGCCAAGTTAATACAAGATATACAACAACAACTACTACGAAAGACACGCGTAAAAACCATGAATTACATGAAATATGTATATGTAAATGCTAAGGCGAGGCGGCAGCAGTAAGTGTTGCTTTCTGTTGTCTGTTGTAAACAACAACAGCAAATGTACATTCACCACACACAACTCGTGAGCCACAACCAGCCAAGAGACCAGCAAAAAGCCAAAACAAAATCAAAGAGTTACACAAGCGATAAGGCAGCGCCAGCAACACCAGCAACAACAGCGAAAGAGCATGAGTTAAACCAGCTGCAACAACCACAACAAACGACTCAATAGCAGCGGCGGCGCAGGCAGCAACAATCTCGAGCGCCATTGAGGCCACCAATTCATACATATGCATATACATAGCGCACACACACACAGGAGTCAGCCAGTAAGTCTTCGAGCGAGTTGGCGTGCGGGCGCGTGCAAATGTCGCGGCGCAACTTGAATTCGTCAGACGTCAGTCGTCAGTCGATCGTAGTGGGATAGTGAGTAAGCTAGTGTATAACAACAACAACGATGGCAACAAGCACGACAAACCACTAGACACAATTATAAAACATTTTTACCGCATTTAGTTTTGTGTGTTTTAAGGCATTGAAAGTGAATTACGGCGTCAATTGTTGCTGGAGCAGCTGCCAAGGGTTGCTGATGAGTGTATATTTAAATGCTAAGAACAACATAAATAAATAATAAAGCGCGCCAGTTGCTCGGCACTCTGCACCGCGGCAGGAGCAGCAGCAGGAGCAGGATCAACCCAACACACACACACAAATGTGTGTGTGGCCAGCAATTGTTTGTGCGAAGTGCTTATGGGATGCGAGAAAGGCTGTTAAAACGTTTCAATGGCGCACACTTAAGAGTGATACAAGCAACTAAAATAACAATAACAAAAACCAAAGTGTTTTTATATACGTATATATAATATGTATGGAAGTGTGTGTGTGTGTGTGTGTGTGCGGCAATTGTAAAAGCAAGAGTGCTTTAAGTGCAGCTATTAGCGCAGCGTATAAAAAGTTTCGCAATAATAAATACGAGACGCTTCGCGAACGGTTCATGATGTGTCACTGTGCGACGATCGGCGAGTTATGAACTTCATTTTATGTTTTCTGGCCCCAGCAAGTAAAGCGAACACTTGCATATAAAAGTTTTCTTGATTTATTTACTCCGTGCCAACAAAAACGATTAGTTTAAATTCTTCGTTCTCGACTTCATTTACTTAAATTTGTTGTGGTGACTGATCAAGAGTTAACAATTTAGCATAAGAAAAAAACGGGGTTTGGAATAGATAGGGAAAAAATAGCATTAATTTTTTCAGTTATAAAGTAATCTGAGTCAAATTTTAAATAACAATCCCAAAATTTGTTTAAGGTATCCCTTGTAAAGGCAAGTAAACTTAAGGTTCGACGTCAAAGTTTCTGCAGAAAGGCGGCATTAAGTTCGTTATAAAATAAGAGTGATTATCTTTTATTCAAGTCAAGCTTTATAGCTTAATGAAGCGCATAGTTTAAGTGAATAATGATGTTTTTTCAAATCATTTTCAATACGACCATTTTTCGAAAGTTGCAATGAACCGTTTCTACAGCTATATTTCCTAATTTTTAATCAAGATATCATTTGCATAGTCATACGGACGAACAGACAGATATACCGAAATAAATTCGCCTCAGCATTCTGATGGTTTGATATACATACCCCTATATATTTTAAACTCGAAGAGAAGAGACTATACGAATATGTATGATGGGAATGCTAACTGGTCACTGTCTGGTGGCAATACACGTCCGCAGGAAATGTCTAGAGCAGAGCACCAGGGAAACAATGAAGCCTTTCTTATGCACCGGTCCCGCAGTGGTTAGGCTGCGCTGCAAGCATGTGGGGTCCCCACGGTATAATACACTGGTGGAGGTGGTCGATAGTGAGGCCACAGAGTCTGTTAAAATTCGTGTCGCAGGCATTCTAAACGATGACTACTCCTCTTGAACTTAGCAACTGAACTCTATCTGGTACCGCAAAGGACCAAACCTAACCTATCTCGATTATTTGTACGAGTTACTTTTAACCCTTGAGTGAACAAAAATACTAAATTTTTTATCCTTCGAGTCGAAAATGATTGAAAATAGTCTACTCAGAAAGTAATAATAATTATCATAAATAAAATAAGTCCCGAATTATTATTATTTTGGTTAATAAAAAGTGCTCCCCAAAATGATCAACATTTGAGCACCTATGAAACAATGAAGCATTCCTTGCGTGTGTTTAAGAGAACTTGCGACAGCCTAACAGTGACATAAAATGTGCTGACTGTTCAGTAGCCCAACTGGTCTTGTCCCATTACTGTTTTGACAATCCATAGCTTCGCACTAAATAACTACAAATCAGTTTTTCAGGTCGAAATTTTTGGTATAAAAGAAGGTGCCAAGAGACACAACTAAGTCAATAAACCTGCTTGTGGGCAACCAGGTGGCAATTAAGGCTACCAGCATCACCTATGATTGTGATATGTTTCACTGCATTAGATTCTGCAGGCAGTCAATAACAGTAGTCTTAGTACTGTTACTTGGGGCATATCACAGTAGTCTTGAAGGTTAACAGAACAAAAAGGATCTACTTCTAGGCAAAAGAGAACATAGTTATATTGTTGAGGTCATCGAAGGGTAACTACCCTTAAGATACCAGCTTCAAAAAAATGGAATAGTGGTTTCCGCTGAATGCATAGCATGCATGGAAGTTAATGAGGTGCTGGAACATTATCTTTGTGCATGCCCAGCCCTCAGCCGGCTGAAACGAGATATCGTCCAGGGTTCCCAATGCTACAATTTATGAGGCTTTGAAGTGAAAAAAATCACGTTTTTACCAAATCATCTTAGTTGTTGGATAAGGCTTAATTTGGTTAACACCTTGGTTAAAAATCCCCACCGATTGCGGTCTGGCGTTGATAAAGAACTCCAGACAGTAAACCAATCCACCAACCTTTCCCCAAGCTTTAGCCCATCCGTAAAGAAGCTCACTGCCACTCTCCTCCCACGGCTTCTTCCTACTTACAGCTCCATCGTCGGTATATGGGCAGAGAAATAGTCGCGAGAGTTCGGTTTAGCGACTGCATGATCTAATTATTCCGGTATGAAGTCAAAGCGTTTGGGAACCCAAATTCTCTGAGTCTAATAGCCACTTTCACAACCATATATATTTCGGCCGGTCTACGGACACTATGTTCAAAATGGCGTTAACTGGGCTGGACCTTAGTGCACCACACATTTTGATGTGCGCCGCCCGTTGAACGCTATCGAGTTTCTTTGCAAGTGTGGTATTTTCCAGAGGCTTCCACCACATAAAGATTCCACAGAACATGATGGGCTTGGCTATGGTGTATACAGACTGAAGGCCACTTTCGGTGAGAGACCTCTGTAGCAATATAGACTTTAGATACTCTATATCGAAAGAACTAACTTCAAATTTCAGTAAATAAATAAAATAGCTGCATTTGGATTTGGATGATGATATTCAAATCACCATTTGCTTTAGTATGTATGTATGTCAACCGCTGTCTGGTTCAAACTAAAAAACCAGCAAAAAATAAAAAAAAACTGTTTTAACTCTAAAAGGAAAATAGGGGATAAAATTATACACTGAGGCCTTTGATACCACCCTAACTGCTAAATACGTATTGAAAAATAAAAGAATAAATAAATTCTGAATAAAAGCATATTGGATTTCAACAACAAAACATCAACAGAAATTGTGAAAAAGTAAAATGACAAAAAAGCACAAATGCCGTAACAAGTGGCGGTCAAATAACTGAAAAACCCATACTACATACTCGTACGAACAGTTGTGGCACAAACAACACTAACAACTCATGCGGCAGGCTCGAGAGAGAACTTTTTGTGATTTTCGGAAGTTTTTGTTAAAGTGATTGCTGTGGCTTTTGTGATTTGTTTTTTCCGCCATAAATCACATTTTTCACAAAGCAAGATCTTTTTCAGGGTTTACGCACAAAGACACACAACAACAACAAATACATACAAATAAAAGAAGTGCGCCGATATTAAAAACGACTGCAGAACAGTCAGAGCGCCATAGTGAGAGTGTGAGTGACAGTGACAGCTTTGTCACCAACTTTGCAAAAGTCTTGATGTACAACAACAACCAAAATAATGGTGAAGTGACACTAAAAGAGCACAATAAAAATATAATAACAAGTAACAAGGCTCCAGCAGGGTCCTGCTGCGGCTAGGCTCGCAAGAGATTCCAATAAAGAATGCGCAAAACGCACAAAGACAAGAAAAATAATTAAAAATATCACAAATTTCCTAAATAAAACAAGTGAAGTGCTACAAACTGTTGCAACAGCTGCAGCAACAACGAAAACAACAACAATATCAACACCGCAACTACGTTCCATATCAGTCGCTGAGCGGCGAGCAAACGGTGCGGTCAGCCGCTTTCAACAACAACAACACCAGAGTAGCAAAAACAATAGCACATTGACAATGTCACCACTTGTCAGCAAACTCAGCAAGACTTTCCGCTGGCTGCGCTGGTCCACCATTTGTGCCATACTCTTCTACATGTTCTTCATTGGGCTGATACTGCACAGCACCACATACAAACTGCAGCACACGCTCAAATCGCGGGCGGGGAGCGCCGATAGCGGAGCGGCACAACAGGCCGGCGCACAACCACAACAAATGCTGGAATACTCAAACAAATATCCAATAGAAGCGGAAGCAGCAATACAACAACAAAGTAGGCTAACAAAAGAAGCGCTACAGCGAAGCGGACAAAAGAGTATGGCCGAGAAGGTGGCAGTTTCGGCGGCGTTGCACGAGCAGTCGAGCGTAGCGAATGGAAATAATGTGCTGAAAACACCGCCGGAAGCTGTGTTGGCCACAACATTTCAACAACAAAATGCCCAGCAGCGCTTGAGTGGTACAGGCGATGGGCTGGCGAAGCGCGCGGGCAGTGAGAAGAGTATAGCGGCGCGTGTTGCTGCCGTTGTGGCTAACGACGCGGCTGGCGGTGTTGTGAGCGTGAGTGGCGCGCGGCAAGGCGGTAAACCTAGCGAACCGGAAACTGTTATTTTAGCAGCGAGCTCCGTCAACGAGAAACAAATTCTCGAGAAAGCATTCAAACGGTAAGTACCTCCTTTTGGGGATCCATATCCTTAAGCATATCTATGTAGATAAACGTGCACGAAACTGTAACACGAAGCCGAGGCATTCAGCGCGCAATATTTCTTCTTTTCCTCTTTTGTTTTTATTTGCTTGCCTATCCCCCAATGACACGGTGAGCAGTGTGGGTGAAAAAATAATTAATGGTTACTAAATGCCTTCATTAGTATGAGGGCGAAATCACTAAATCCGTATAAATTGTTGTGCAGAATTTTTGTGGTTTTAAGCAAGCGCTAATGAGCAATGTGGAATAGCACAACTGAAGTGGTTTCAATGCACAGGCTATGGCCTAGAAATTCACATATATGCTTTCATTAGGTTAAGTTTGGATTAGGCTGCCATTTCGCTAGAGCATAGGTAAAAGCACTTACACCACATTAAAATGGCTGGATGAGTTACCGTCTCTGGTTCAAAGCAATATTGCATGCATTAACATTGTGTAAAGCGTGCTTTTTGTGTTTTCATAATCTTGTCTGACCGTCCTAGATATATAGAAATTAAAGTATTCTTTCAACTTTAATAATAAGGTTGTAGAAAGTAAGAATGATCCACATGTAAAGAGTACTTCGAAATGTTTTAGATACTAATAGGAACAGCCTTTCGTCCTATACATCGTGAAGCTCATCATTTCATCGAATGCGATATTCGCCGTGGCCAACGCGCAAAGAACCATAAATCTTTCGCAGAACTTTTCTCTCGGAAACTCGCAACTTCAACTCATCAGTTGTTGTTATCGTCCAAGCCTCTGCAAAATATAGCAGGACGGGAATATTGAGTGACGTATAGAGTTTGATTTTTGTTCGTCGATAACGGACTTTACTTCTCAATTGCCTACTCAGTCCAAAGTAGCACCTGTTGATAAGAAATATTCTGCGTTGGCTGACATTGTGTTAATGCTGGTTCCAAGATAGACAAAATTACCTACAACTTCGAAGTTGTACTGAGTGACGTAGGTATCTAGTCGCAAGTGCGACGAACGTTTGTTTGATGACAGGAGATATTTCGTCTTGTCCTCGTTCACTGCCAGATCAATTTGCTTCGCTACCTTATCCAGTCCGGATAAAACATACTTAACGGCGCGGTTGTTGAGTCCAATAATATCAATATCATCGGCATACGCCAGCAGCCAAAAAATTCTACTTTCTCGATTAAGCTCTGCAGCTCGAACTATTTTCTCCAGAGAGTCGCCAGGTCTGATACCTCGTTTGGTATGGAACGGCTCAGAGAAGTCCTTCCCGATCCTTACGAATTTATTATACAATCATATTAGTTTTTCGAGGATACCAAATTCAGACATAGCTGCATAAAGGCAGCTAATCCAACGGTATTTGCCGCAGATTTTGGGATCTCCCTTTTTATGGTTTGGACAGAGCACCCTTAAATTCCAATCGTCGGGCATGCTTTTGTCCAACCATATTATCAGTTGAATATATCCTTATCAGTTCTTCGCTGTCAAATTTAAATTGCTCGGCCGGCAATCTATCGGCTCTCGCCGCTTTGTTGTTCTTCAGACGGTTAATTGCTATTTTAACTTCTTTATGATTGGGCAATGGAACGTCCGCTCCATCGTCAACGTTTGAAGAATCGAGTTCACCATCTCCTGGTGCTATGCTTTCACTGCCCCTCAGCAGGCAGGAGAGTGTTCCCTCCACAATTTTAGCATGCTTTATGCATCAGTCACTAGAGCATGCTCCGGTGATAAAACATTCTGTTAGTCGCTGCATACCCCTGTCGACCACCTTGTCGTACTTACGCATTTCAGCCTCTCTCCTACAAATACGTCTGGCTGCCCTCCTTAAGTCTCGGTATCTATCTCATCAGTTGCGAGTTAGGTACTCTCTTCACTGAGACACGGCACTCCTCATCGTGCTAGCTGTCCTTTTGCCCTTTCCGAAAACCAATGGATTTTAAAAAGTTATATGAGAAAGTTGTAGGTAATGAAAATATCTACCCTTGTAGACACACTTTTTTCACATAACCTCAAAATTTATTTGAAAAAAAAAAATGAAATAATCAAGGTTTTCGAGTTTTGATTTTTAGCCAATCACGAATCCCTTCCATCAACACTGAACTTGAATTTGAACTTTTCAACTTGAATATGAATTTATTTGGTTAAAAATTCACTATATTTGCTTTCTCAAATTATAAGAGATTTTGTCAGTTCTTAGAATTTCGTAACCGCATCGTAGCTTTCCTTATATCTTTTATTCGCAAATATACAAAAGGCCAGGTCGAATGTCGTGCATAATAAACCTTAGTATATATGTATGTATGTATTTTTTCGTTTTAATATATATTTCATTTTATCCGCAGTCAACTGCTTTAGATTAATGGATTTCGAAGTGAATATTATTATTCATCTCTCTTATAATAAAAAGGTTTAACTCCCAATATGTGGATTCAGCACTCAGTCATCGTATTTCGCTTTTTAATCGCTTCCTCAAATACCAAGCTGCACACAAAAAACAAAAACAAAACTACGCTGGGGAATTAGCGGCAAAAAGAACTGAGAAGCATTTCTGTTCAGCTTTAAAAATCGCTAAGGATGAGCTGAAATCGATGAACGCAAATTCCCTCGCACATCTGCGAGAGTGTGTGTGTGTGTGTTAGCATTCCCGTTAGTTGCCAGGTTTTTTTTCTACTATTACATTCCGCGGTTGCACACAACAACACGCCGCACGAACTCCCAAAGTGATTTTGTTTTCTACACACACGCGGAGAGACACACACACACCAAGCCACATAGACACAAACTGCCATTCAACTGGCAATATTTAGTCAGTTACGCAAATAGCGGGGGCGATGGACTGCAGTGACTTTGCACTGCGGGTGTGAGTGCATAATTATTATGTCGTTTTGCATCACACACACACATAAACACATACGCAGGCGAAATGTGATTATGCAAGAAAATTCAAGCACATTCTGACACACAAACACACCGATATGGACGCTTCACAAAAATGTATGCGAGCTGTAAGAGTGAGTGTGATGTTTTAATCCACAATTTTGGTGTACACGGCGTATGAGTACCCGCATTCAGACTTATCAAGTCCATATGTATTCGTACATACACATACATACATACATAAAGATATTATTTGCATGCCGCTGCCATATTTTTTGCATTCCTATTATGTTTTTGCATTTTGCATTTTACATTTTCTACACTCTCACCATTTACACTACACGACGCCGCGTGAATAGCATGGCCCGCACGCTGATTCGAATTTCCATGCAGCTGCCGTGTAAACGCTAAATGCTAAAAGGAATTAAAATTTAATTTGTTCCACAAAAGCCGCAAGTATGTTAGCTGCAACACGGCCATAGAAAGGAAATATTAAAAATGTTAATAATAAAGATATTTTGGTGCGCAATGCGCCGGTCACCTCCAGCGCTTGTGCCGCACTGAATTTTTATGCATCACCGAATGACCTTAAAAGCGCACGAGCATATTTTAATCAGCGCCAAAATGCAATTATGCTCTTACAAGTGAATAGTCAAAAGCTTGCAGTTAATGACTGAATAACAGATTCCAATAATCTATTTCAAGAGGGTATTCTAGCCTAGAGGCCTGATTTTTTTTATAGATTATTGACTCACTTAGTGTCAATACTCCATTTTGCTTGATGTCTGAGTTATATATATCCGACATAATTAGCTCAAATGAGATCTATGGGGCGTTTTTTGCGTTGCGGGACCCAAACCCAGCTGAGAAGGAGAGAATTTTCTTCACCTGCGTGAACTTCTACATACGACTCCATTTAATAGAAGAATTGAGAAGTAAAGTCCTCTCTCTCGAGTGGGGATTGCAGAGGAAGAGGAAAGCCTCCACTCCGTTGGAGAGATCAGGTGGAGAAGGACCTGGCTGCACTTGGTATCTCAAATTAGTGCCAATTGCGAAAAGAAGTAACGACAGGCGCGTTGTTGTTGATTCAGCCATAACCGCGTAAGCGTTGTCTACGCCAGTAAAGAGAAAAAGAGATGTACGTGATACAATCTGCGTACATATGTATAAGATACATATAATTACAAACTACATAGATAACCTTAATTTATTATAGGCGGTATATATCAGAAACAGAGAATCGGAAATCATTATATTATAAATATGGAGCTTAAAACGATTTCATCATACTCAGGTTTATGTTCACATAAATCCTCATTAAAATATCACATATTTAACGTCAGGTGCAATCCATTTAATTTTTCTAAGATATGTCATCAAGGCGCCAAGGCATACAATTACCAACCAAAGCTGCTCTCTAATTTCCATTACGATAAATCAAATATTGACCAGGGACACCATATAAAGTCAAACAGAAATTCGAAAGATTTTATATTAAGTGTTTTAATGAGGATATTCTACTTGTATATTATGCTGGATGTAACATCGAATGCTCCTGAGGTATTTATTTAGTTAATTTCGCAATTTTTGTAGCTTTCAACTCAACCGTTATAAGGGAAGTGGCCATGATAATCATTAGATTTCTCTCAATTTAACACTGACTCAGAAGTTTTAGAAAGTATTTCCTCGGTGAAAAATTAATTGTACGACTTTAAGGATTTGTGAGATATGAACATTTAACCAAGCACAATTCTTAAAAGTTCCTAAATTTGTGACTTAGTTATAGTCCTTTATAATATTTTCCTTAACGGCATTATATAAGCGTGGCTATGCTTATCCGCCTACCTGCAATACCAAACCACCTTGGCTGCTACGGAACATTTGTGCCACGTGTGCTATCGCTTCCACCTATAGGAGTGACGACTAAATGGACCAACAAACAATCACCCGTAAATCGTCTTATCATCCCGAACGTTTATAAACATATATAACCCTATATATATTTCGATTAAATCTAAGTAGTGCAAACAACCTTTAAGTGAGCAATCAACGAAATCCGTATTGTTAGAATGATTTCATACCAACGAAATGAAATGAGCAAGCTTTTCCGGACAT